TATCACATATATATTGTGTTACTGAACCTGAACAGGATTGCCTCTGGCAGTCCCATCACAAATGTATTAAAGAGCGAGGGGGGGGGGATAAACAAGCTTTGCAGCATCCCAGCTGCAGTACCATTGAGAAAACATCCTTCACAGTGGTTCCCCATGTACCTCCTAATAACCTTTCCCCCAAAAGGAGATTGTAAAATGGCTGATAGTTGTCAGGTGTAGCTAGATCCAGTAGAATTTCTTAACAGGGGATTGAATCACAATGTCAGGATGATGACATCAGCTCCTCTCAAAGGGAAACATTAATAAATTAGAGAAAACAAAACATGCCTTTTTTATTCTTTCCGACGCCTTAAGGATAGTTCAGCTTTGATTCACACAAATGGGAAAGAAGATAGTGAGGGGCAATGGAAGAATTGAAATGAGTAGATACCTATTTAAAATAGTAAAAGATAGCTTGATTCGCTGTTGTTGTTGTTGTTGTTGTTGTTGTTTTGAATGAATTTTACAGTTTGCAGATGCCAGAATTTTTGGAAATTTGCTAGGATAAAAGTGCCTGAACAAATTATGAGTGATAATGGTCTGCTATTTTATTCAGAGAACTTTAGGTATATTGTGCAATGCATTATCACTTAGCACATCAGCTGTGGGCATACTACTTAACCACTAATATTTATACAACACTGAAAAGGCTCTGAAGATCATGGCTAGTAAAAGCTAGCCCAATCATTATTAACATATCAGAATGTGTGATATGCACTAAGGTCAGCTACCCACAATACTGCTTGTGGGAAGATGATGTTTTCTCACTTGTTCTATTGAAAGCACACCTGTGAATTTGTGTTAAAAATCAACAAGCTAACCAAAGATCTATGAAATGGTTTGGTGTTATTCAACTGCTGACATCCAGATATTATCCGTAAATAGACAAGTACAGATAACATCTAATACAGGTTGTAATGGCAGTCAGTCATAGAAGTCAAATGTAATTTCAGAAGTCCAAATGTAAATGGGCTGTCAAGACAAAATTAAACTTGCACCCTGTTTTATGACTTAGAAACAACAGGAACAGCATGGATATTCCAGAAAGCAACCTGATGAATATTCAGGTCAGCCAAAATGTCATAGCCACTCACTGATCTGGACTTAACAAATCCTAAGAGTAATGTGCAGGGCGCAAATAGTCATTACTTGAGGAAAAATGCAAGGTATGTGGAAGACTTCGTTGTAATTTTAAAGTCTGTGTTGTTCAGATTGTTATAATTATTCAGGTGGGTCGCAGATTTTAGTGAGTATGTCTGTATATACAGACTGAATTTGCAGTTCTGTTTACCATTCTCAAATTACATTGAATTTGCTGTATTGTATTACACAGTGATTCACACAATTAATGTGTCTCTCATATATAATAAAAAGATTTGAACTGAGGTTCTCCTTGAATTTATGTATATTAGGCCAATAAATACACTATACCCATCAACAATGTTTTAGAAAGTAAAATCTTATTCTTTGTAGAAATCACAAGTTACTTGTAGTTTATCACTGATCTAGTTCCATGTGTGCAATAAAACAAGTGGTAATTCATTGAAGCTTATCGTGAAAGAAATATTACCTGAATAAATATCATAAATTATAGTACATAGTGCAATCAAATTCTAGCTTTTAGAATCTTAAATAGCTCTAAAATATGCTCAAATCCAATCCTCGATCAAGACCTAGCCTATATATTTCCTTAGTAAGTGGCTGAATCTCTTTGTTTATGTTAATATATTTCCACTGGCTTAAATATGTCCAAGATCCTTGAATGGAAAACTCCCATTAATCTCTCCATATGCAAACTGAAGAGAAAAGAAAACATTTGAAAATTTAACTTTTGAACACATTTAGAAACATGGTAAAGAATAAACCTCTTACTGTATTTTACAATAACAATATTTGTAAAATATAAACCTCTTATCTTATAATACTGTTTATCATGATAGAATATGTTTCATGCCTTTGTTCATTGTCCTAAAAAATATGTAATCATCATAAAATAATTATTCGTAAGTGCAGAAGTACAGTAGAATATATTTCCAGATTTTTTAAGTGTGTGTATGTATATACATACATACATACATACATACATACATACATACATATATATATATATATATTTGTTTTTTAAGGTTTTCACGGGTGTTTATATGTGAGTCTTTGGTCATTCGGGTTTTCTCCCGTGTAAGATTAGAAGTATCATAGCGACGTTTCGATGAAATCACATTCATCATCATCAGGCTTGTGCTTTTAGCTTTGTGCTTCTTAGAGTAATATGAAATGTTACATTTCAAGTAATGTTACATTTCATATTACTCTAAGAAGCACAAAGCTAAAAGCACAAGCCTGATGATGATGAATGTGATTTCATCGAAACGTCGCTATGATACTTCTAATCTTACACGNATATATATATATATATATATATAAAGATGTAAATGCAATTCTAAACTGTATTATTGTAAGTGTATACCTCATTTATTCAGTGATGAATCAGTGAACTAAACTGAACTACCAATTCATTCTTTTTCTTAAAAACAACACAACAAAGGCTTTCCTTATGAAATTTCAAAGTTGTATTCTCCATAACTGCTGCCGGAAGGGGGGGGAGATAACATGAGGTGTAAAATAGTCAATTGATATTCTAAGAACAAAAAGTTGAAATGAAAGGAATGGATGGGAACGCCAATAGAAAAATTATCAAAGAGGTGCCATGATATCTACAGTCTGGCATGTAACCTTTTCAAAATATTGCCAAACAGTTCCACCATGGACAGGTTTTTCTTAGACTTAATTTAACCTTAAGCTGCCCTTAAAGGAACAGTGAAAATATGTCCTGGAAATGTATAATGTGTGGCTTTTGAAAAATGTAAAGGAAACAAACTAAAACTTTTATAAAAAATATGACCTTGCTAAAAAAAATGGAGCAAATCACAATTATAGATGTGTGTTTCATAGGATAACTTTGTAGCTTGGCCCCTGAGTCTTTCTAGTCACCTTGGAGAAATATTAATTGCCTGCACTTCTACAATGAGAGGTCTAAAACCCATGCTTTGTTATGGAAGCCTCTATTTTTATATGTGGGACTTGGTTGCAATTACCAGTGAGGAGAAAAAAACTCAATCTGCAGTTGTCAGGTGAGCTCTGGTCTATGAAACATTCTTTTATTTTATTTATTTATTTATTTATTATTTATTTATTAAATTTATATACCGCCCTATCTCCCTTACGGGACTCAGGGCGGTGAACAGGCGATACTAAAAACCACGATAATAAATAAATAGTTTCTGTTCTAAAATCGAATTAAATAACAGGCCTGTTCTAAAAACACACCCATACAAAAACCCCCACTGAAACATAATCGAACTACGCCAGGCCGGCCGCACGGAATAGATGGGCCTTCAGGGCTCGGCGAAAAAGGCGCAGGTCCGCAACTGTACGTAGGTCGGGGGGTAGGTCATTCCAGAGGGCAGGAGCTGCCACAGAGAAGGCTCTCCCCCTGGGGGTCGCCAGCCGGCATTGTCTGGCCGACGGCACTCTAAGGAGGCCCTCTCTGTGGGAGCGGACTGGTCGAAGGGAGGTGTTTGGTAGGAGGCAGTCTTGCAAATACCTAGGTCCATTGCCATGGAGCGCTTTAAAAGTTGTTACTAACACCTTGAAGCGCACCCGGAAGGCCACCGGCAGTCAGTGCAGCTCACGCAGGAGAGGTGTTACATGGGAGCATCTAGAGGCCCCCAAAATCCCCCGCGCAGCCGCATTCTGAACTAGCTGGAGCCTCCGGGTGCACCCCAAGGGGAGCCCCATGTAGAGAGCATTGCAATAGTCCAGGCGGGAAACGAGGGCTTGAGTGACTGTGCGTAGGGCGTCCCGATCCAGAAAGGGGCGCAACTGGCGTATCAGGCGAGCCTGTTGTTATCTTGCTGTATATTACAATTTTGGTTGTAAGCCTATACAACAGAATATTGCAAAGAACCATTTATCTGATAGCAATTTTAAACTGTTACAAATTCAAAAAACAGTGCCAATTTGCATTTTTCATTAGTTTTAGATAGGAAGTGCAATGCAAATTGTGAAAGAGGAATTTCTTATGATTATTTGTTTCTCCATTATTTGTCACATTTTGTGTTGAGAACCAGGAGAACTTTATTTTTCCCACAGATAAGAAGTTATTGTGTCCTATTGCCAGAGACATCTTCAATAGAAAACATTTATTGCATGTTGTATCCAATATAACCAATTAGCAACTGTCTGTCAATTATATAAATGAATATATCCTTGTTTACCATGTAAGTGCCTGCAGTGAAAAGCCTCACTCAATTGTATATATGTTGTGGCTCACATGGAAATGATCACATGCAATTCTGACTTACCACTGCAGACAATCATACTCTAAGCACAAAGACCAAATCTTTACTTAGGCCACTAGAATGATTAAGTGGGAAAGGCTGTAACTCATGACTTGGAAGTTTCCATCATTTATTACATCAAAACAGGGCTAAGGTAAAGCAGCTATTTCTGGCTGGCTTTGTCATTTTCTGTATGGGTTGAAAACTGGTTTTGCAACCCATGCAACATTTCCTGCCTGCTATTGATCATTTTTCTATCCTTTGTACTCAGTTATTTATTTTCTTATAATGACTCTAAATGGGACATTCAACTGAACTGAGTTACAGTATTTTAATTTACAACAAATAAACATAAGGTTTCATTAAATTCAATTGACAATGGAGAAATTAGAATTTTTCAGGGAGAGAAGGTAACTGACAAAACTGGATTTGTTACTCTGCGTTTTAATATATTCCTCATATGATCAACAGCTTAAGATGTTTCAGACTGAGGGAAGTCAGAACCCCAGAGAAGGAAATATTAAAAAGGCAGAAAAATATATTTCCTCAAAAAGGATTTTTAAAAGCAGATTTTTTCAGAGGAAGTATTTTTAATATAAATCTTATGTTGAACAATTCCAAACACATTTCATGAAGTACTTAAAATCCATTATAATGGTAGAATTGAATTCATTATCAGAAAAATATATAGAGTTGCTGTTGCACATTGTTCAATACACACACACACACATCACAAATGGAATGACTAATCATATATAATACATGAAATATAGTTTTATTATTAATATATTAATTTTATATAAAATAATTTGATGCACCTTAGACACTAATATTTATATTACAACTGAAAACAGAGCATAATATAGCCCTTTGGCTTTAAGAGATAGGATAAATACATATTCAAATCTTAAGGCAAATTAAAGAACTAAGAAGTAGAAACTTTCAGCAATACTATGGTTGATTTTTTTAACAATTACATTTTAAATATTTTGCTTTCTAGCTATCTATAATTTTTTTTAGCTGTTTCTCTACTTCTTCCACAAATCCTGGGAAGTGTTGATCCAATAAGCACAAGCGAATAAAGCTGCTTAAATCTTCAGTATTCCATGTGGATTTTTGATATGCAAGAGGAAGTTGATCATCTGGTATCAGCATACACTGCCAAAGAGAACAGAATAGTCAATTTTCTTTTAAAATTCCTAACAATTTAAAATAAAATATATTTTGCCGATTTTATTTAATCAACATGGATTTGCTACCTCCCTCGGAGACATAAATTGTAGCTAAATTTACTTGTTTTTATTAGTAAGAATTTCTAATGTGTTCAATCCCAATAAGGTTTCTTTGTCTTGATATTTAATTTACCATTCTGGACAATATTCATCCAGTTTCCAACTGTAGAAAGTGTGCATTGCTTGTTCAGAGGACCCTGGAAGAACCAAATTATCTGGAACCCTTTTAGTCAAGGTTTGGGCCTGGATATGGGACTGAGAAGGCATTGATTGCACTCACAGCACAAGCAGAATGGAGGTGATTCATCCATTCTTACTTGGTTCTTGACCTTGCGGTGGCTTTCGAAACCATCAATCATAGTATCTTTCTGAACTGGCTCTGGGAGTTGGGGGTGCACAGCATGATATTGAGCTGGTTCTCCTTCCTTCCTTCCTTCCTTCCTTCCTTCCTTCCTTCCTTCCTTCCTTCCTTCCTTCCTTCTTCCTTCCTTCCTTCCTTCCTTCCTTCCTTCCAGGTGAGTTCCATTTGGTGTTAATGAAAGGACATATTCAGCCAGTGACTTCTCCTTCATATGGTGCCTCAGGGTTCAGGAATCTTTTCCCTTCTATTTAAATCTATATAAAGCGACTGGGTAAGGACATCCAATGGTTTGGGGTGAGTATGTTACATGATGTTGATACTGCAGAGATTCTATCTTAATATCTGAAGGCTATGGGGCCTGCACAAAATGGAGGATGGATTTTTAAGAGTATGTGTTAAAATATCTCATTACCCACCGTTTTATTAACCATTATTAACTGGCTGGAATGGAACCTCTATAAATAACAAGAGCCATTTCTTTGTGGATTTTCATTTACAAATTTTGGTTCCATCTTTAAATGTTTTCTGTTACAAATATGAAATACCTTAAAAGTAAGAAACCTTTGGCTTCTAAAAAGTTATACTTTTCTACAGTAACAAATTAGACTTTCATTTCTACTAGATAAATATTAGAAATACCTGGGCTAGCTCTGCTATAGACATTGTTCCATGTGTTGGAGATATATTTGTAACCTAGAAAGGGTTCAAAATAAATTCATAAAAGATACAAAATGCTACCATAGGCCATTAAACAATTGGAATATTTCTACTTTATTTTCTTTTCTAGAAAATGCATATACTCTAGTAAATAAAATAAGAGATAATAGTTGTATTCCATAATATAAGAATAGCAAAAGAAATATACTTGGAATTTAAAAGAAACTATAGAGAATTTTATCAAAAGTTTTCAATGAACACATTATATAGGTTGGCATTCACTGAAATTTGGCCCTCATGCTATAAAATTGTGCATGTGTGCGTACACACATGTACACATATCTACTGTACATGAAATATAATATAATTTTAAAATGCATTCAAGAAATCTGTTCATTCCTAGACTGGCTGAGAACAAATAATTTCAGAACAAAACATTTTGGTTAAATAATTTTGCTGTTTTCATAATAAACTATTAGACTGTGTCAACATTGCAGCACATATTTTTTTTCATTTCTTTGCCCAATCACTTCCACATAGAGTACATTCACCAGCTTACGGTATCTTGTAATGGGACATTTTGTTCTGTATCTTTCATTTGACTTTCATCAGTGAGAAGCAGACAGTGGCTTTGGTGTAATTCCTGCCTTATTGCATCTGTCACTTGAACTGGAATATACTCAGCTAGTTTCTGCATACAGCTATGGCAATGCTCTTCTGCCTCGGTTTGGGAGTCTCCAGTAAATTGTATACGAAACATACGATGTTTGCTCTAAGTTGAAAATAAAAACTAAATTTCATTATTGCTGCATATTAGTACTTAAACATTTGTTAAATTAATGCCTATTACATATTTCAGCTTTATTTAACTAACCTTTTCTATGTGATCTAAAAAACTACTTGCATTTCTAACCAATAGTTCACTTTTTAGATATTATCTTTTTAATGTTTTCTTGTTGATTTGGTAATTCCTTGATTTTATTCATAATGCATCACTACTGCTTTTATTACATTTTAACTATTATAGCTAAGGTAGCATTTTGTTCAAACAAATATCTCCATCTTCATGAGATGTCACTGTGCATCTCATGATGACCTATATATGATATATTACAAAAATCTGGTCCATACAACTCCCCACCTGAACACTAAAAAAGGCATGAAGCTAAGAATAGAAGACAGAATGTTAAAAATGAAAGTAACATAGCATCTAGAATTGTGGGAAAATCTGGCCTTGTAAAATTACATCTTAAAACAAATTTGTAAGAACCTGCCACAGCAGGTCCCTCAGGAAAGTAAAAGTCTTGACTCCATTAAGGTTGATGAAAAGAACTTTTACTGAGAGATAGTGGATGCAGAGAAGTCAGGCGGAATCTGTAGGTCCCACTCAAAGTGCAAAGCAATTCTTTTGTTTTCCCCAAACCCAACCCCCTGACCAATCCACCGGCAGCCAATATGATGCTATGTTATGAGAAAACTGAGGTACTGGGTAGATAGCAAATCACTCTCAGGGCACGACAGCCTTGGAAGGAGTCTGTTTCTTCTCCGAAGACAATCCCGCTCAGATTCCCAAGCGGTTACAGCAAAAGCGAAAGCATGCAAGGAATGCCAGAAACCTCCCTCCCTTTCCAAAAGAATGGCAGGAAACCTGCATGATGGACCTGACAAAATGATGCAAAATAATCAGAACACAAAAATACAAATATTCTACATGATTATGTGGTAAAGATAAATAATAGTTTTAATGGACTATTTTTGATAAGTAGGATAACTGAAGAATTTGGGATAGCATTCATGATATCATTAAAGATGATACTCTTTAAAAAAGTGTCCCAAAGCACAAGAAAGCAAAATGTTTGCTAATATACTAAAAATAACTGAAGAGTATCTAAAAGCATAAAAGTAGAGGAAACTTTGCTTAATTAAACCCTCAACTGGGAGAATGACAAGAATAACAAGACAGAATAAATAACTGACACAACAAAACCGAGGAGAATCATAAAATGGGAAGACAAGCAGGATGATGCAATAAGGATATTATGAAAATCAAAGAAGATTTGAATATAAAAAAGGAATGATAGAATGCAAAGAAAACAAAGATATAGTGACTAATGAAGATATAAAAAGAAGAAATTGTAAGATTATATGGAAGAACTATACAAAAAGATTGCAAAACCAAAGAATGAATCAATGAACTATGTGTCTGACAGTCTGAAAAGTGAAGTTAAATGGGCTCTTGAAAATACTACTAATGACAGTGCTTTAGGAATTGATGACATAAGTCAGATAAATTTAAATCTTACAAGATGATGTAATTAGAGAGTTTTTTTGTACTTTATAAGTGGATATAAAAAACATACCAAATGCCAAGAAAGTTGAAAAGAAAAGATATTCCAATATAACCAAAGAACAGTGCTAAGTGTTAACACTGCTAATTGTTTCAATTACAAAACTGTTGAAATTATTTCACATACTCATTAATTTTGCAAGCCAGACTTAATAAATGGAACGCTAAACATGCAAATGTTGCAAAGGGTATAAATAGGATTCAGGAAAGGTAGTGCCCACTGGAAAAAAAATCCTAGTATTTAAAAGAAAAGCAAGGGAATTTTTAAAAAGTAATTAATTACATAAAAGCTTTTTATTGTATTCACTGCATCAAACTAAGGACAACTATTAAAAATATGATTCATTTATGTATAGAAGAATTTTTATAATGACCAAAAACAGGGAAAATAGAATGTAGGACAACTAAGCAGTCCATAATTGGGAAAGAATTATGCCAAGGTTGAATATTCTCACCATATTAATTTAATTCAATTTCAGAGACTTGTGAGTTAATCATTGATCTATAATGCCTGAGAGGTAAGGCTATCAGATTTGAACTTCAAAAATCCAGACAACAGTGTTTCATGGATTTCTTTGCTGCTATCTAAAGGTCATTCATTGCAGTGTAAACTGATAACTCTCTCTCTATATATAATACTATATATTACATTATATACTATATATTACATTACAACTGGAAAATAAAAATTTCACTTTGGTATGCCCTGATCTCTTAAATACAATGGTACCTTCTTTTAGGTTCTGCTCAGAATAAACTTCGCAATGATCTTTGGGAAACATTGAGCAACCAGAAACTTCAAATTTCAGAGCCTGAACATTAGTCTTATCCACCACTCATTTAATGAACATTTGAAGTTACGGTGGTACTGAAAAAATAACTTTAGGGCCAATTTACAACCATTTATGATGTTCACAACATTCCTCAGTCATGCCATTATAGTCAGTACACATTGTTCTGTGCCTTACCTGTTTCTTTTTCTCCTCCCTTCTTGGAGAGCAGAAGGATTGAACAGGAAGGGATTGCAAGAAAGTAAGCTGTTTAGTCATCAAAAGCAATATGGCTGCACCAACAGCTGGGGCTGGGAGCTATGCTATGCAAACAGTTACAGCACTCTTTTGAAACCTCTTCTCCAATTTTTCCATTTGTGGAGTGGGATGGAGGGGGAAGGCAAGCAATTTCTGTAATCTCTCTTTTGCCTCACCCTTTTACAATCTACCCTAGAGCAGATAGATTGGAAAGAGATTGCAAGAAAGTAAACTGTTTGTTCTACATATCAAAAGCAAAAATTCATTGCTTTCCATATGTACAAAGCAGTAAGCAGAAACCCAATTCTTAACTGAGGACTATCTGTATGAAAGTACAGGTTTTACATCCAAAGATAGCAAACTAACACAAAAAGAAAGAAAAGCTCTAGTACATCCAAATATACCTGCATAGTATGGACATCTCAAGCTTTTACAAAAGTTTTCCTCACCAGGCATCCTTATTCTGCTCCAAACCTACATTGCAACTTTGCTATTACTGTACAATACAATGATACAAGAATCTTGTTCAGAATTTTAAGGTACTTAAATCATACATATTCCTTGACTAATTTTAGTATATGAAAACAAGTCTAATAGAATGAGGAGGGAAAGAATAACCAGACCAACTTTCAGAAGAATAATTCAATGAAAAACATAAATGAAAAAATATTTTAAGTAAAATATTGACATATGAATAAGCGTACCTTTAATTTTGAACCAACTAACATGCAATCTGCTTTTCGTACCACCTTTAACCACTGAGAAGCACCAATTAATGAAAATCCTTCCTGAAATAAATTGCAAAATTTATGCACAGATGGGGAAGCTCTGAAACTCAGGAATAATTTAAGTGAAATAATATTGCTGCAATCCTTGGAATTGTGAATATATAATTTAGTAATAAATTTAGGAAAATTAGTAATAAACTTTTTAAAAAGAAATACATTATAAAACCTGGTGAAATGATATTTTCTATCATAAACCAAAAATTATGTGCCACAATTTTAATATATTTTATTATTATTTATAATTTTTCAAAAAGGGCTGAAGATGATGATGATGGTAATGATGATGACAATGGACAAGTTGCCTATTTCACAAGGCTATTTCAATTTTCTATTCCTTACACTAAAAACTATACACTTCAAAACATTTTAATGAAAGTTCACATTCTCAGGATGCATAATGACTCTGCTTGAATAATAAAACTTTGGCAATTGCCTTGTACATCAATGGTTTTTTATTATAAATGGTCAATTTTCATGCTTAGTTTCAGGGAATTAGTGACAGTGTTCTGGACCGGCCAGTTAGATGAGAACTGTATGTTAGAATGTTTGGCATTTAAAGGGTTAAGCACTATCTCCTTAAGAGATGGCTTATGGGTAATGTAGTTTTAGCTGTTCAGTGAATCCTATGTTAACAAGTCAGTGGGAGGGGTTACTAAGTTCATCACAGGATATCCCGGCTACGTGCCAGCTCGTGTTTGTCTTTGTGTGAAACCAACCATGCCGCACGCATGGACATCGTCTATAACCTGGTTACCTCCGGACCTGGTTACCTCCGAGACCGCCTTCTGCCACAGATTACCTCCCACCGGCCGATACGCTCCCACAGAGAGGGCCTCCTCAGGGTGCCGCCAACCAGACAGTGTCGGTTGGCGACCCCCAGGGGGAGAGCCTTCTCTGTCGGAGCGCCCACCCTCTGGAACGAGCTGCCCCCAGAGATCCGGGTGATTCCGGATCTCNGTTTCAGCAGGCAGGACTGGCCTAGGGGGTATTTTAATTGGTTTTAACAAAATTTTAATAGAGCGGCCAATTCAAATATTTATTCTTAATTATTTTAGATTTGTATTTGGTATTTATGTGGGATTGTTTTAAACTGGCTGTAAGCCGCCCTGAGTCCTCCGGGAGAAGGGCGGGGTATAAATGAAATAAATGAAATGAACCAGGCTAAAGTGAATATGGAGAAATTACTGATTTTACCCACGAAAATAGACAAATGTACAGCATCCAGATGAAACTAGAGAATCGTGAGTTCTGCCAAGTATTCCTGGAATAAATATTTGTTTTATAACCATCTTCGTTGAGTTGTCCCTGTATGGTCTTGAATTACAAAGCATCTTAGTTCAGGATACAGAACAGACAGGTAATAATATATTTACAGGCTAGATTTTTAAAATGGTTTATATTTATCATTTGGTTTACTAGTTTCATCTTTTTTTGTAACACTATCCAAATATAATGAATTTGTGTTAAAGGTAATGCTTAACTAGATAAAACAAAAATACTCAGGTATAGATTGTTAATCTTAGTAACCCTTGATAAGGTACTTCTCTTCCTTTTCCTCCTCATTTTTCTTTCCTTTTAAAGCTAAAGTTAAAGGTTTCCCCTGTGAGTTGTGTTTGACTTTAGGGGGTGGTGCTTATCTCTGATTTACATCCAAAGAGCCAGCATTGTCTAAAGATGTTTCCGTGATTATGTGGCTGGCGTGATTATGCACTGAAGGCACACAGAACATTGTTACCTTCCCACCAAAGTGATACCTATTTATCTACTTGCATTTAGAATACATGCTTTCAAACTGCTAGGTTGGAAGGAACTGGGGGAAGTAACGGAATCTTACTCCATCACAGAGTAATTAGGTCTCAAACTGCCAACCTTCCAGTCAACAAGCTTAGCATCTTAACTGTTTGGCCACCCCGTTGTTTGTGAAATTTTGTTACAGAATTATGACAGAACTTTGAAATAAATTCTACCTCATCACTGGATGAACAATTGTGCAATATTTTGTTGACTGGTTTTTGGATTATGGTTTGTGTATAAATTCTATTCATATAAGTTCTATTCACATAAGTGCTAACAGTGCCTAGGAACTATGCTGACTTAATTCACTTATTAGGGGAGACTGTTTTAATATTCCTTTAATGAAAAACATTATACCTATGAGAGAGGATATGTTGAAGAAACAAAAATATATAAAAGTTAATATGTCAATAGTTACCAGTACTTCTTTTCCTCTGGAAATGAAGAAATGGCCTGAAATAACTATACTGAGAACAAGAAAGCCAGATTCTTCATTTGACTCCAAAACCTTTTAAGAAAGAGAATCTGTCCTTAACATGATGAAAATATAAAAGAAGTGGTTTCCATAAAATAAAAGCATGTTTTTTTCTTTAAAAATTGCATACAAAATATGTTTATGTTGGATATCTATTTACAAGAAATAAATATAATTGTATTCATGATTATAAGCAAGGAAATAAGGAATAAGAATGTAATAATTTAACATACTTAGTTTTATCAGGGTATAGAGAATTTGTTCTGTTCTGTTTTCAGCTAGGATTATTTTCTCTGAAATTTCCTCTATATTTTAATACATTATTTTTTGTAAGCCACTTTGGATATCTTGTTTGGACTAAAAGAGGTATTATGATTTTTTTTACAAAAAATGCTGCTATATTCTGCAATTCTAGATATTTAGTCAAACACAGAGGAAAGACAACTAAGCTTAAGAACATAGGAAATATTATACTGAGACAAAGAAATAATTGAATTCAGCATTCATTTTTGCACTTCAGACAAAACTAGAGATGCCAGATTAGGGATGCAAAATTCTGGATGATTACTAGATGGCAGATATTATCTCTTTTTATTCCATCTAGCAAACATAGCTAAATATGGAGTATGTGTCAGAAGAAACTTACAAACAAAACTTGACTATCATTCATGAAATTTTAATTTTTAGGAGCTGAAACAAAATGAATTTCTAGATGATGACAGATCAAATACATAGCAAGTCCTAGCATACACCTCCTGATCTAGAAGATGTGCTGTCTACTATAATGTAAGATGTGGGAAACTATGAGTTGTTGAAAAATATGAAAACAGCACATATTATGATGTACTCACAAACATTTATATATTCTAAGGAACAATATATAATTCTGAGACCTAATGAATCCTTCTTCAAAGAAAGATTTGCTTCTGGGACAGTTCTTATATTAATTCAATAACATGTAATTTCTCCCTCAAGACACAATGAATTCAGTTTACCTTCCAAGATCCTGAAGCAGTGCCCAAAGCTCCAGGCATAAATCGGCCATAACGCCGAAGTGGCCACTCTACAGCATTCAAGCAGGAAGTATCCCGTGACTGTTCTGTCATTTGGTCTAAAAGTGGCTGGTCTACTTCAGACCATGAAACTGAATCATAATTATTTAGTATATGAGCATTACTACTCCCTGTTGCCATTTCAAATTCTTCACAGAAAATCACTTAATATCTGGAAGGGAAAAATAAGTATGAAAAAAAGATTTAGTCAATAAATCCCATGAACTCCTTTTTCCTGTTTATTCAGAATTTATTTATACAGTTAGGCACATTCTTACAAGAATGAGCTTGGACTAACTCTACTGCACTGAGGCAGGAAGAAGTATCCCATGATAATCTATGCATGGATGTGTGCAATATATATATTTAGTTTCTTCTTATGTGTATTCTATGACTCTCACTTTGTTCCATAATTTCAGTCTTCTTTCCATATAAATGCATATATATCCTTCTTGAAATCTAATTGACAAAATCATCACAAGAAAGCAATTTCTTGAGAGCAAGAATACCTGTGTGATAAAGTATGATGATTCAAATTCATTTTTTTTTTCATAAGATCTAGTTGTCTTTAGGATAGGAAGCCTCTCCTAAACACAACTTGCTGCCACAATGGACAATGAGGAATCTGTGAGACAGCCATAAACCCATAATATAGCACATGGCCATTATATCCTCCAGCAGTTAAAGTTCAGAGGCATACTGCTCCCGATAACTCATATAAAAAATAACCATTAAGATTAATGGCTATCACTTATTCACCAAAAGTTTGCATATTTCTATTTTTCTGCACATTTCTGCCTGTCTTTGAAAAGCACTAGAGCCCTTTTCAAGTGGTAATGAGGTGTCACTTGTGAATTATAGCAACATATAGAAAGCTATAAAAATTCACTATGGGTGAATTTCCGTGAATTTGATGGAGATCAGGTGCAGGTAAGTTGATTTGTTAATTAAAAGGAATTAAAAATTGGTGGCAAATATTGTACTTATATTTTTCATAATTACAATTTTGGCAAGGAAAAATGATCTATCCATAATTCTTCATTCTAAATGTAGTGAATTATGGAAAATATTGAGGAATTAATAAAACATTTTTTCCTCCTAGAAAATCTTCAATGATAAATGAACTTGATAGATAGATAGATAGATAGATAGATAGATAGACAGACAGACAGACAGACAGACAGACAGACAGACAGACTGACTGACTATTGGTTCTTTCAACAAAATATTAAGCATTATTAAAATTTATTAAAAATGCACCCCAAATATCCATGGGGATTCATGAGAGGCACCATTGAGGAAGCTAGTTTGCCCAATATTATCAAGGGACAAATTTGCTTAAGTTAGAAGGAGCTTTTTGTCTGTGTCAGAAAATTCTGAAAAACCAGTCTAGTAATAATTCCTAAAATCTGATATTTGATGTGAAATTCTCTCTCTCTGTGTGTGTATGTATATACAGTGCTTTTTTTCTTAAAAAAAAAAAAAAGGTGCCGGAACTCACACACGTCCTACAACCCGCCTTGCCTACCCTACAAGGTTCCATCCAAAAAAGGTGCCGGAACTCCGTTCTGGGCATTCTATGAGAAAAAAAGCCCTGTGTATGTATGTATGTATGTATGTATGTATGTATGTATGTATGTATGTATGTACTTACGTATGTACTAGAAATATAAAAACATCACTGAACTCAGGAATAAATATAAAAACAAACTGTTTTATTACTAAGCTTTCATCAGTCCTATGCCGGCATTGTCAGAGTAAAAACTGGAGGTTGGCTAGCCTGCTTATATAGCTGGTTGTTTCAACGATCTGCTCATGGAGCGAGTAATTGGTCCCTCCTTCCTTTGCCCCCTCCTAGTCAATTGTATTGCAGGATAGCCAACCTTCGGTTTTTACTCAGACGATGTCGGCAGAGGCCAACGAAAGCTTAGTAATAAAACAGTTTGTTTTTATATTTATCCCGGAGTTCAGTGACGTTTTTATATTTCTAGTATGAGTGTACCTGGGATTCGAGTTTTTAAGATTATCAGAGACATGTGTGTGTGTGTGTGTGTGTGTGTGTGTGTGTGTGTATCAGTCTGTTCCAGAAGTATATTTTCCTTATGATCTCAGAGTGATAATATATTTTTATAACATCTGTCATTCTAAATTTATTTTATTATTAAATACATATCTCTTTGCACAGACAGATTTTTATGCCAGCTAATCTTGACCTACTAAGCTTGCTGCCAAGTAGGTGCATATAGGTTTGCAGACTTTCTTTACATTAAAAAACATTTCATAATTAAAATGTTATTACAAAACTGGCATTTTATTCCATAAAAATATAATATATAATATAATATAATCATACAGTAGCTAAGGAGCCCTCATAAACCCTCTTTAAATATTTCAAATGTCCATGCAAACACCACCCAGCCACTTCCCTTCCTAGTTTGGTTGAAATATTTTCATGACAGAACTTCTTCAAAGGCATTATCAAACATTGTGCTTTTTAAGTAACATGTTTACAGTATCCAAAACTTTTGTCCCAGCCTTAGAGATATAATATTTAAGATAACAAATCTATTTGGACATATGTGAATTAAACAGCTGGTTTCAAATCCACAGCAATTGTTTCTTTCAAGGTAGCTAAATACTACAGTTGGCCTTGAATATGCCTAATTAGTGGAGTGATGGCAATTATATCTCCTTCTGAAATTATTACAACTTTTGGGAAGTCACATTATTAAATTGTTACTGACATTATTTATTCTTATCATCATTGTTGGATTCTGCCATTACAAGGTATTTTTAAAATTAAATTTGTAGACTGCCTTAGTTCAAATCACTCAGAAAACAATAATGTGTAATTGAAATAGTCAACCATTTCAGAAATAACAACGGAATCACAAACAACACATACAAAAGGATAAGCCAGCTACTGCATTACTCTGCTTCCTGATGCAGACCTGGAGAGGCCTTCTGAACAGTCCTGGAAAGTGAGTCCTCCCCTCAAACAAATCTCTCAGCGTCTGGATTTGTCTCTTTATTTCCACAAGCTGCATTTACAGTCTCCCCTAGTGGCAAAATTGAACAGAGGGTGAATGAAAAAAACTAGTAAACACAGACACAAAAACATACAGAGCAACAGGACATAGTTTCCAGCATGAACCACTTAGGCCAAAAAGCCTCTTGGGAGTTTGTTATAAGATGGGCAACTATAAAATCATTTTTAACAAAGAAAGAGCAGCTGCCTTAAAAATGGAAACTTTGCTATTTTACCTCACCATTGATTGTGAGAGAAACTGAAAAGGGGAAGTTGGATAATTTAAAACAAACCTTTTTCTTAATTTTTCTCTCTCTCAGGTCTTCTTTCTCTTTTAAAATGATGGAAGATTTCAAAAGAGCTTTTGTTTGAGTGGTTATATTTATCAATATTTTAAAAATTAAAATTGAGGCGTTCACCTGAATTATAACCACAGGATGCTTCTGCTCCTCCCATCTGCTTCTCTTGCTGAACTACAGTGCTCCCAGCCTCAACTCATGTGTGCCTTGTACCAGGTCCATTCACCCTGTGCAACACCCCTGCACTTCTTCCCCATTGTTTCCTGCTTAACAACATGTTTTGGATTACTACAATTGGGACTGCCTCGATTGTCATTGCTAAGTGGTGTGATCATGTGACAGCACATTTTATGATTGAATCGCTTAACAAGGGCAACCCCATTAATCTCATATATTAACTACACAAGTATATTCAGGTACAGTACAATAAGTATACTTGTACTTATATTATGCATCTAATGTCTATTCCAAAATGTTATAGGCATAGGAATACCCTTTAACTACTGCAGAGAGAATTAGGTCTAGAATTCAGAAGTGTGTTTGGGACAAAATATGACTGACATGTAAATTTTGTTTTCGCACAGGCACAGTACTACTCAGAACTAAACAAAGAACAAACACATGCAAATTCCAGGACTGTGTTCTATAGGTAAAATTGGTAAAATTTAAATCTTTATATTGGGAAATGTAAAAGACCAGGACTAGATGATTTTTAAATCAAAATTCATGCAAATCAACATTGCTTTATATAATTTTTTTTAAAAAAATTTAAAGTCTATAATTTAAGATCAGAAGACACAGGTGAGAAGCGATGACAATCAAATACAACCAGCTTTAAAGGAAAAGATGATTATATAATAAACTTAATATACAATGAATTATTAAAATATATTAAAGCAGAAATCAGTGTATGATTCAATACATAAAATTGAATTAATGATTAATTTAAAAAAATTGGCAACTGTAAGGGATGAGTCTATGGGTCCAAAAAATAGTGACTCTTCTCATACTGTCCACTTTTCCACATTGTGCTCCAAAAATACTCCAAAAGTTATTATTCAAAGAGTGTGCTTAGGAGACAGAAGAAATCAAATAAATTTCCAGGAAACAAGGATTATGCCCTTCTTATCAGGCAGCCTCAGAGGACTTACAGTACAGTGTTTAGAAAAGGCGTTGTGACCTCTGATTTAAATAAATATTGAATATTAGTTTATTAACTTTTGAATTTGAAGATAATATTGTCAGCTAATCTAAACAGCTATTCTATGAGTTCAGATTTAATATTTATGAAAAGGTTCAATTTAAACACTAGAATACTCTGCTTTCAAATGAGATTCTTATAAATAGGCATAAGGTATAGGGCAGCAAAACACTATTTCTTCCCAGATTTTCTAGGTAAAAGCATGTACATGTTGTGAAGACAAAGGTTCCTGTATCTGTTCACTTTTTTTGGTAATACAGTAGTCCTCACTGTTAGAGTGAGGAAAAAAATTAACAATATTTGCTTCCTCTTATTCTGGACACTTACTGTGTAAATAAAAACTAGACAACAGATCAGGTATAAGATTTTTAATGGACTTTTAAATTTCTGACAGGATTCTTTTTCACATTTTGCTGAAGATCATAAAGGCTAACCTTTAAAACGTTTTCTATGCAATTATGCTCCTCCAAGTAAACATCCCTTCCAAATAGCTTTTACTACTGAATTTCTAAAATATTCATTTCATACTGCATACATAAAATAGACTCTCTCTATAAGAGCCCAACTTAGTTGTATTGTGACATTAGAATAATAATGCTTATTAAAAGTACGGT